TGCAGAATGATGTATTTGGTTCTCTTTGGTTCTGTTTAAAACCTGCCAGAATTTCCACGAGTATAAACAAGAACCCATGCGCGCAGAATGACAACCCTAGTAAGCACAAATGACAAACCACCCAAGAGCTCAAGATCTCCTCTGCTTGCATACGTAGATCACCTTTACTCATGCATGCATTGAACTTCTCTACTCACACGCATATGATTTACCTGTTGCTGACTTGCAGTTTGCCTCGCTGCAATTGCTCTCGAAGATACTTTTGGGCAAGTCTGACAAGTTGGCACCATATCAAATATCAATGGCCAGCCAATGCTTCACCCCAGTGATTGAGTTCAGTCCCTGTCCTCTGCAATCGTCCATCAGATTGGAGGAAGAAGAATATGAAGAAGAACTGCATGGCTGATGATCAGGAGTTAACTCAATACAATATATCTTTCAGTTGCTTGGCATTCAAAACCATTGCTATGTGATAACGGTGAACCTGACGTAAGCTAACACTAGCTGACAAGCCTGTCTCCCATGTCTGTATTATACTAGGTACAGTTACTACCTGCTGTGGAAAAGGCCGTTTGTCACATGCAACTCTGCTGATTAGTTATTTCTTTCCCTTTTGTCATTTTGAGTCTAGCTCAGTTACTTTTGAAAGTTCCTATTTTATTTTGTTTCTCTAATTTCAGTTCTCATGTCAGACTACTTCAATTCCTCGGGTTACCCTTTAATCAGCCGCTCTGACAGTGCTCACCTGTGTCTTTGCCTCACCTATTTCAACCTCTTCCTCTGCAGCCTTCTTTGCCAGTTGGTCTTTGTAACTTTTGTCAAGCGTTCCAGCCTTTGTTCTACCTTACCTAGCAGCTAAGCTAGTTGCTATACTTGTTTTTTGTACCAGCCTTTATTTTTTTTTCCAATTTTCTCCAGTTGCTCCAACTCATTGTGCAGTAGTGTATTAATAAATTTTTTGACTTCATTTCCCCGAGTTGAGTCCTGCATTTAAGTCCTGTTTGGTTGCTTCTGACACCGTTGTGATTATTAACAAGCTGCAGCGATGGAGACGTTCAACATTAGTAATTAATTTTAGTAGTCTTTCTAATGTTAAATAATCCGCATTACTTAAACAAAGCTTTTTTACGTTTAATTGACCTAACTTCAGAACTTCACTTTATTGTTTTTGCGAGATCTGTTTGGACCCTCTTTCTTATTTATGTATTTTTAATGCTCAGGTGCGCGACCCAGGGAGGGGATGTGTGACGGGGGTTAAGTGGGGTGTGTGGTCAGGATGAGCGAAAGTCACAATGACTTTGATAGAATTAAATAGTATAAATCTCTGAATTAAGATAATAAACTGACTGATCAGTGCTCACAATTCATATTCCTGACTCTACACAACATTGTGACTGAGAGGCAGGATTTTATGGTGCATTCCATTTGATTTTTGTTATATCATGTAGAACAGTGTTTTAGTCATTGTTATGGTTGTAACAGTGGGTATAGGAGCAGCTTACAAGCAGCTGACCTTCTAGAGGTCAGTACAGGGATGGTGCCAGCAAAGTTGGTACCCAAGTGCAAAGGCAGTGCTAAACAAATAAATCATAGAAGACAAGGTGCAAAAGTACATAAATGTACTAATGTGTAATCACAAATGAAAATAAATTACAGGCACTAAAATGAAATTGCATTATGTTATCTGTGATTGCCCAGTTACAAAGATTTTTAAATGTTCACATTACTAAGCCATTTGCTATTCATTGACTCATCACTCCCTCATATTTCACCTATAAAATATAGATAATGATATACTCTGCTCTGAGCACTATGAAACAGTCCTACTTAAACCTAAAGCTAAATATTTTCCTACCAGCTTCCTGCCTTCAAAGATGGAGACAAAATAATCAATGAGTCCACTGGATTATGTTTATACCTGGAGGTAAAGTATAGAGCACTGTCACTATCATACATAAAGTGTTTGAAAAGTAAGCTATGATGATTTTTTGTTTTTGTCTCCTTTGTTAAAAGAATCAGAATAAGTCTCAGGGCACCAAGCCNCGGCCATTGTTAGAGAACCGGACGCTAATGGAATACAGGCCAATATTAAAGGATTTACTGTAGTTTTTCAAGCTGTGAACTCTGACATCTGCTGCTGGGTCAAATTGGTGTGACAGAGTTCTTAGACTTAGACAGATTTATTGTGTAATTTTGTATACACAAGTGTAGACAAAAAGGAATTTCGTTTAGAACAGCTCTCTAGACAATAAATTTTTTTAAAGTGCAGCCTTGATAAAGTAAGCAGCAGTTGTTGTTGAGGCAACTCAACAACAACTGCCTCCAGCTCCTGAAACACTTGCTTCTCCTGGCTCAGGGGAGGAAGAGGACAATGATGACGATGCTGTGAGGGTGGTAGCCCCCTGGGTTGAAGAGGCTGACGTGGTTGAAGCAGCAGTGGTGCAATCGACAGGTTTAGCAGCGACAGACGATCCTGGAGAAGGTGTGGAAGCCGGAGGGGGCTGGGAGGAGCCGGCTGGGGATGGTTTAGTATTTTGCAGGGAAGCATCTAGAGTGCTCTCCGCATTTTCACCTGCAGAGAGCTATGATTCCCTTCTGGATGCTGAAGATGGCCTGGGAACAATCTCAGATGAGCCTCCATTCACGCAGAGCTCTTTGTTTTCCATCGGCATGGTACAGCATCAGACCCCCCCAGACCAACAGCACCGTCCGGTACTGCTAGATGCAGCCAAGACCCCGTCAGAATGATGGTGCAGCAGTTACATATCTCCTTTTTTTGCAGTTAGCCCCCCTCTGCAGCCTCTCTTTCTCCGTCTTGTGCATCTCCTCCTCCGTCTGTTATTTTCCGCTGCTGCCTCGCCAACATCCATTCTTAGCACTCCGCAGCTTTTTAAACCGTCAAAAGTGTATTTTAAAACATTCTGTGACCATAGCTCCAGCAGGCATTGGCGATCATAGCTGCGGGTTTGATGTCTAGTTTGTATAATTTAAAGCGGCATATTTTGTGAAATTTGTCGAGAGCAGCTGCTCTTGGCCGCTACCATGGAGCGCCGCCAAAGGTGCTCCAAGGGGTGGCAGAGAGTCAGAGTCAAATTCGAGTGGCTGGACATTACTCCAATGTGAACCACCCGGCTCTGCAGAATGATGTATTTGGTTCTCTTTGGTTCTGTTTAAAACCTGCCAGAATTTCCACGAGTATAAACAAGAACCCATGCGCGCAGAATGACAACCCTAGTAAGCACAAATGACAAACCACCCAAGAGCTCAAGATCTCCTCTGCTTGCATACGTAGATCACCTTTACTCATGCATGCATTGAACTTCTCTACTCACACGCATATGATTTACCTGTTGCTGACTTGCAGTTTGCCTCGCTGCAATTGCTCTCGAAGATACTTTTGGGCAAGTCTGACAAGTTGGCACCATATCAAATATCAATGGCCAGCCAATGCTTCACCCCAGTGATTGAGTTCAGTCCCTGTCCTCTGCAATCGTCCATCAGATTGGAGGAAGAAGAATATGAAGAAGAACTGCATGGCTGATGATCAGGAGTTAACTCAATACAATATATCTTTCAGTTGCTTGGCATTCAAAACCATTGCTATGTGATAACGGTGAACCTGACGTAAGCTAACACTAGCTGACAAGCCTGTCTCCCATGTCTGTATTATACTAGGTACAGTTACTACCTGCTGTGGAAAAGGCCGTTTGTCACATGCAACTCTGCTGATTAGTTATTTCTTTCCCTTTTGTCATTTTGAGTCTAGCTCAGTTACTTTTGAAAGTTCCTATTTTATTTTGTTTCTCTAATTTCAGTTCTCATGTCAGACTACTTCAATTCCTCGG